ATAAAGGACTCTTCCCCCCCCAAAAAAAAATAAAACTGATTTAAATTGAATTCTAAAGAGAATTTTTCGTGGCGTCTGAGCGTATGTACGTATCTCGCATAACTACAAAACGAGGAGCCTCTGAACATTGAAATTTTGTATGTAGGACTACTATAACATATAGATGTGCACCTCGTATTTTGGTTGCAGTCGGCCGCACCAAAAAGTATAAAAATATATGTATATATATATCCACTCTGTTACTCGGCTGAGCTCAGTTGTTTTATTCTTATATGTTTGTATATTGACTTTAAAATGATTGAACTATGTTGTTCTTATCTTCCGGTTGAGGTTTTTATGCCTTTAGTAAATCTGCATGTAATATTTGTAGAATTATTTTAAAAGATGTTTAAGTGCGGCTAAGTCTAAACATGGCGGCCATGTTTGTTTACATTTGAAGCGTAGCAGAATAGTGGATTTGTTGCCAATTTAGAGAAACTATGCTTCGTAGCAGCAAAGATAACGCCTTCATTATTATTGCGAATTAAATCATGCTTGATTCATTCTGGAATTTATTCGAGGAAATAAGTGTTTAAGATTTACTTCGTAATTTTTAATATAGATATTTTGAGTTTTTATGTATTTTTGGCTAGTCGCGAAATAAGAACTGAATTAATTGAATGAGAAATACTGAATCATCTGGGGAAAACTTTTTTGTTTGTTTGTTTGTTTGTAAAAGTTCTTGTATACCTCGTTTTAGATTTATTATAATATTTGAATAGAATATGTGGCAACGATTAGATAATTCTTCAGATGATATAAATTTTGTGCATTGAGTTATAAAATGAATGAAAGGTAACGCTGTTAAGTGAGCCTAGGGCCAGAGTGTCGCTATGGTAAAAACAAATATAGTGAATTTTAAAGAGTGCATTTGTTCTATTGTGGTTTATGCGCTATCGACGAAGTAGATTTAATTCAATCCAATAAAGTTAAATGAAATGCAGAAAAAATGCGTATAATTTAATATTCTTTACAAGGAAGTCATGTGGTGTACACATCAGATTTTTTAATAACAGAGAAGCGATAAAATTTGATTTCTTCAGACAAAGTTGTAAAAAATACTTAGAGCTCTGTTTACGTTTTTCGACCGGCAAAATGCGGTTAAAAGTCTAATAAAAGGCTCTAGGTTAGCCTTTGACATATTCTGATTTTCATCAATGCTCTGAGATTTGCCTGCATTTAATTTCCATACCTTCTGCATTCGAATAGCGATAATCTTCTAAATCCACACGGCTTCATTGCGCGTCATTTAATGTTAATAAAGACGCGACCTCTTTATACATCAAGTCCATATTCGTCAGAAAGAGTATGCATAACAAGTTCGGTACGCTGGTTGATGTAAGGTGAGTAGTTGAGAAAGACACAGCAATTCATATAATGGTGCCAGCTATGCCGATCTTGTACCGATGGAATCATGTTCGCAAAGGCGGCTAATGCGGCACGACGCGCAACAAATGAGAATCGACTTTTCCCAATGCTTTTTATTTGTTTGTTTCTTTCTTTTTTTTTTTTCTAATAAGGCGCCTCAGAATGCGAGCTTTTGCTTACGCGAGCACTGCATAATGAGAAAGCTTAATATTCCTCCATGAAAGGAATTCGAAATCTTTGCGCTTTTTTGTGGAAAGTAAGAAAATAGATTTATTCTTTTTGTTTTCGGGACACAATTTATTGAAACATGCGAATATCCTCCCCCCATCTTTCTCTTTCTCTGACTTTCTGGTTGCTTTTCATAAACGTATTCGATGATTTCATGTTAGTATAAATATTTATTATTTTTACTATGTAATCTTTGTTGGAATACATTGCGATAAGTGTAACGCAAAATTCTCTGACTTAGATTATAATACAAATGCTTCATCTACGAAGAAAGCGACTGTAAAATCTGAAACCTTTAGAGAACAGTTCAACACTTTGTACAGTCCATTAGACGTTTCAGACGACTAATGATAAAAATGAACTTTAACTCTCGCCGGAATTCGAACTCAGATTTTGCAGGGGGTGTTAATCGCTTACTTCACAAAAGCATGCATGGGAAATGCAATAATTCCTTGTAACTTTAAAAAAAAGTTTAGTTTTAAAAAATTTCAAAAATTTAAAAATGTAAAAACTATATTTCACTTTTCTTCTTATATAATTGTATATTTTCTAACAATTCTAAAATTTATATTTGCTTAAGTATTTCTTTCCTTGAACACAAAATGATATAAATGGGAAAATCTGAAACAATTTGCAAAATTTTATAATCGTTTCAATAAAATTAAAAGTACAAAAACATATACAGAAGCTTGCAATCTTTTACGTTCCTGCAAAATTTCATCATAATCATTAGGTCTTCCTTTACAAGAACAAGACTTCGAAATTTTGCTTGTCTAACGCTTACAGAACGTTAGAAACCTATTCACGACATCGTATAAAATTGTACTTACTGCAAAATATTGTTCAGAATAACACGCAAGAAAATTTAAGTGATTAATATGCTTTTAAATTATTTACTTTCTGCGCATCATCCATAGTACACTCATGTCCAAAATTATGTTTACATGCATAAATTCACGGATTTCTCAGAGACTATAACTTATAATTTAATGAATTTTCGTGGAATCATACATAACATGATGACACATAAATGCAAAAGAAAAAATTGAAGATCACCTCATATGATATAAAATTGTAGCATGAAACAATAAAAATGGTAATAAAGTGTGACAAAGAGAGGTTAAGAAAAAAAAAAAGTAATGATTCAGAAAAGAATTAAGTCTTACGAATTTAATATGGAATATGATCTCCCCTGACTTGTACACACATATCACAACGTGTTTTTAAGGCTGGAAATAACGTTTGTTAACCACAGTTTGGGGGGAATTAATCTCCACTCTTCCAGCAATGCCGTCTTCAGAGCATTTACATCTCTAGAAGGAGGATGTATACGTGCAATTGCTCTTCCAAGGTAGTCCCATAAGTTCTCTATCGGGTTAAGGTCAGGAGAGTTTGGTGGCCAAGGTATTCGCTTAATGTCTTCACTTTCAAGGAATTCATCAACGAGGTTTGCTCGATGTGGACGGGCATTATCACCCATAAATAAAAAGTCAGGTCCATATGCACCCCTGAAAAGTCTTACATAAGGATCTAAGACCTCATCTCCATATATCTGGCCTGTCACAGATCCGCTGCTGAACACGTGTAGGGGCGTACGTCCATCGATCATTATTCCACCCCATACCATCACACCTACACTACCGAAACGGTCACGTTCCACAATGTTCGAGGGATCATTTCGTGTTCCTGACTCCCTCCAGATGTAAACACGTTTAGAATCACCAATTAAACTAAACCGCGACTCAACAGTAAAGAGAACATGGGACCATTGATGTTCAGTCCAGTTTTGATGTTCTTTACACCAATTAAAGCGATCCCTCTTTTTCTGTGAAGACAGTAACACATACCCTTGGCTTTCTGGCATAAAGGTCTTTTTCATTAAGCCTTCTGTATATTGTTTGCCGTGATGTAACAGTTCCAGTGGCGGCTGCAAGCTCTGAACTTAACTGGCGAGCAGTAGCCTTTCTGTTACGACGGGCAGTTAATGCCAGATACCGATCTTCAGAAGCAGTTGTCATTCGTTTCCGACCTTGTCCAGGCCACCTTACAACATTTCCATCATTTTGAAACTGTTTTCATAGCTTAGAGACTGTCTGTCTTGAAATATTCAGACATGTGGCTGTTTCCACGATTGACTGCCCTGCTTCTAAACGGCCGATAATTCGCCACTTTACAGATTCTTCCAAATGATACTTCGAAGCCATAACAAACCGCTTTGAGTCCCTACACACTGAAATCAAACGCTATGTTGCAGAAATTCACTCAAATATTCAGTTTGCGCAAAGCGCTTGATTCACCCTTGGATGACGTAACGCCTAGATTTGCATATCACAAACCGTTTGATTACTTTTGATTGGATAATGCTAATTAGGCTTGGTTTTCACACATTCCCTGCAAATACGGATCACATTGATTCGATATTTCATTGAATATCATCATTTTTGGGTATGTAAAGATAACTTTGGACATGAGTGTATTACAGTATTCAATATTCTTCGGATCAAGAAGTGTGAAAAAACAATCCTGCCCTCTCCAGCATTCGAAGCACAGATCTTCCATTTGCTAACGGAAAGAACTGGCCACTTAGAGCATGAAAGTACGCACGGGGGGGGCTCAGATTTTGTTTATTCATCCCTTTCCACCTGGGCGACTAATGAGAGACATAGAAAGTTCTAGCGCCAACTGTAGAAATCATTAAATGTGTCGGAGCGCAAGTAATGTAAAGCAATGTACCTCGTCAGGGTTCAAACCACGTTGTCGGGATTCAAAATTTGCTTGTTAGACGTGGTAACCACTTACACCATTACAGCACGCATGGAGCGATGAGAAAAATCCCTTATACCACCCCTTTCCTATTTAAATGGTGACATGGGAAAGAGACGAAATTGAGTATTTTTGAACCACGGATCTTCCACTCGGATACCTGCAGATATCACATGCACCATGAGAGTACGTACGCATTTGATGAAATAATTCCGTATAAAGTGAAAATAATAAACTTCTCAAGACTTTTTTTTTCAGTTCGGGGTGTTAAAGAAAAAGCAGTTAACCGAATAGTAGGAAGTCACACAGATCCGCGATTCCAGTTTGTCAGATATTAGGAGTTTAACTGTATTTGAATGCAGCACTTAGACTAATATTTAAAAAAATTTACAAATATTAAAACAAAATTCTGTTTCATCTCTTGGATTTGTTAAAAAAAGTCGTTATACTTTTCTTCGCATCATTTGACTTCCAATTCAGTTGATAGTAATGACATTTATCTTCGTTACTATCAATTGGATGACGCAGCAACTTCACTTACATATAAATAAGGTTAATCTAGGCAACAGAGAATAAAGAGAGGTAGAATTACTCCCTCAGTCCGCGTGAGTTTCCCAGTCAAGGTTAAAACCAGAAGAGAAACATTTTTCGTTAGCCTCTCAAGGCCCTTTCATACTCGTCTTGAACTGGAGCGGTGCAAACGGAAGAATGGGATCTAAGGTCTTAAAATTCGGTATTATTCTGCTTTCAGTTTGGATTTTTTCAATATGCGAATCTATTATGATGCCGTCTTCTCATTGCTCGGAATCGGGAAATCCACTTTTCTTGACTCCTTTCATCGAATCTGGCGAAATTGCGAAAGCTCGACTTCTCAGCAGAGTAAGCCATTTGCCGCTTGCGCCACCAGTTATCAGTTATAGTGGATTTTTAACTGTTAATAAGAGATATAACACCAATCTCTTTTTCTGGTTCTTTCCGGCTATGGTAAGTATATGAAATTTTCTGTGTAGCAAATATATGAATATTAAATAGATTTAGATCAGAGAACCAATAAAATGACGCGCAGAGAATTCATTTTCATTTCATTTATTCAATATGATATTAATACGATATTATATTCTTAATATGATTTAATTTTAATGCCCTATGATTTTTTGAGAATTCAAATATTAGGGCGTTTTCTAAAATTGCATAAATATCAGTTTTCAAATGAGTTCGTATTTATTTCTGATATGTTTTAATCTCTATAGTAATTATTAGATTGATTTTATTTTAAAATCATTTTTATGCTACTTCCTGTTAGAATTTCCACAGAAATACATTGCAGAGAAATCCCATTCCCATTCGAAATCAAAACTGTTGCCTAAATTTTGGCAGGACTTTTTAGATTACGAAAAAACAAATTTCCAGAAATTACATAAAATCACTCTCCATCGCCTGTAAATGATGATAAACGATTTCGATGCCGAACAATATTTATGAAAAAAAACATACGAATTTGTAAGAAAAAAAAAAGAGTGCTTATGCGTTATTCCTTCGACCGGCCAAGTAGCTCGATTTAGCGTCAATTATAGATGACCAGTTCTTTTGGAATTCCACAGTAACGACAGGCGATTGGCGGCCGTTGCCGAAATTTCCGCCAACGGTCGACAGGATAATACGTAAGTACAGAGACAATCATCGGTGTACACGCAATATAAAACACTGTATATTCATAAAATAAAACTAAATTCTTAACTGGTAAATAAAAAGCTGTCTGAATCCCCCTCCTGAAACTATAAAATTCTCTCCTGGCTGAGAACCCCTGTTGTACCCACTTACAAATATCCAAGCCTTCTCCGGGATTCAAAGCCATGTTCCAAGTTAAGATAGTTAAGGCAGCCAAGAGCGTTAATTACTGTACCAGTCAGGGCAGCCTTTACTGATTATTTCTATATCTGAAACCTACTATAGATAAATAATTTATAATCGTTTATTGTGTGATTTGTTTTCAAGGTTTTTCTACCATTCGAACAGCATCTAGGAAATCAGAAAAGTGCCGTCGACTTTCGAGTAACCCTGGAAACGCCAGGTTAACCTAAAATCATAGTTAATCAAAAAGCGGTCAAAAATTGCACAGGGTAGAGAAATAACCTATATTATTTAACAAAAAATGCTATTAAGAATTTACAACGCTTCTTAAGCCTTTTAATATACTGAATAAGTTCATTTGCTTCCGAAAATTAAATCAGCATTCAAAACAAGAATACACTTTAAAACGGAAAGAATAATGGTTTTGTTTATATTACTCTTGTATTTCTTTAGGAGTCAATGGGAAACAGAGAATTAATAACTGTGCCTTTTTATTTTTATGGTTATTTATTGTGGCTTATATATATATATATATATATATACTTCAGGTTATGCAGAACTAGTTTAGATATTGTTATAGTTAAAAGAAATTAGCTTAAACAAAACGATGGACATAAATAATACTAAATTAATGAACTCCATCTAAGTCGTCAATTCCATTTTTTTAACTAACTTTTTACACTGCTTCATTCTTTAAATGTGAAACGTATTTTAATAGTAAAAAAAGGTGCTCGTAATGTATTCTATCAAAAATTATTAATTTTAGAAATTCTTCTAATAGATAACTTTTAAGTTCTTGCATTCCATGGTGTATTACGTCAATCAAAAGTCGTGCAGCATTATTAAAAGCATTTCAGCTTAGTACAAAGTATACTTTTAATTGAATAACAAACTCCTACACTTTCCAGAGCGGTAACATCACATATTCTTGTGAATTAAAAAGTCAACATTTTAGAATACCCCAAGTTAATTTTTAATATTTTGTGAGTAAATGTATCAGTGTTGAATCATATCTAGATATAAGATGTGCTAAAGGAAGATGCAGATGCCTCAGATAAATAAATAAATAACGTAAAAATTACAGTCAAAAGCTTCAGATTCTAAAGAAAATTTGGCAATAGAAATAGCTTTCATTAAGCACAGTAATGCGGTTAATAGTTTCCATGCAATTTTATTCAAAATTAAGTATTTAAATTATATCAGTTAGATTATCAAATTATCATAAAGATTTAAATTATTAGGAACAACGTCAATTGCTTTAAGATTGGTCTGGTTTTTAAAGTATAATTTGAAATATAGAGTAAAGATCTAATATCATGGAAAAAGGCAATACTTTGAAAGAGGTGTTTATCAAATCGTATGGGACATAAAGGTCTCAGGTTTCGGACAAAAGCAAAAATTGCTAAGCTACATGCGTGATAAATATTTGGTAACATAGCATTACGTAATGTAAAGGTTAAGGCTTTGTAAAAATTCCTCCAAAGACTTTTTTAGCATCAATGAAATAAAGATATAAATTATTAGTATTATATTGTTGTTCAAGGAGCTAAATCATTTAACAATGTACAATTTTAATTTATTAAAATGTAAATTTTAATATCTCATTAATATCTTATCTAATTAATCTAATTAAAATCTTATTAAATTAATTATCTAATCAATATTTATCTTTAGTATTTGTTATTTTTAAAATGTAAATTAAAGGCATTATTTATTTGTATAGATATGTTAATTTAATTAATATTTTTACTATCATACTATCAATGTGTAATAAACATAATAATAATGCAATGTCATACGTAATTTATATATATCATCTAATGTGCAATCTAATGTGTAATCTAATGTGCGTCCATCATAATAAGTTACAGCTCTATTTTATTGAGGTTAGAACGCCTTTAAATGAACTTTCTGCTGAAGTTATATTACGCTACACTGCATTTATCATTCACGTAGTTTGGGAAATTTTACGCCATACCACAATCCAGCACCAAAGATCTTACATGACCGTGGTAAAGGTAATATAATATAGCGTCACTCGAAAATGGAAAGACTAGATTATGTGAAAAAAGAAATAAAGAGCTGTTCACAATCTTTAATAAGGTAAATACACTGTACTCGCCGCTTATTTAACTGACTGATTCATAAACTCAGAAACTTATTACGCTCAAATTTCCAAGACTAAAAAAATACAATAAACAATAGAAAAACCGCCGTTTATTAAACACGCTTCCACCGCTTATTAAACTCAGGATTGGAACTGATACATCAGCTCCAGAATATCTTACCCCTTCCTATCAAAGCTTAACGTAGTTCAATATCGTAAAGTATTAAGGACTACCCAGACGGTATAATAGTTAGGAAAGCCTACGTCGGTACCTAAAGGCCGATTAGAATCCCGGAAAAAACCGTAATGTTTGTATAATGTTCTGGGCGGCATAGGGGCACTCTAAATATGCGCGAGCCGAAAGTCCTCTCGAGAGGTTGTGGTTAGAGGAAGAGGGATGAGAGATCGTTGGACTTGTCCGGAGGGGTCGGAATGAGCGAATTCATACTGTCACCCGTATGGTGCTCAAGGCTTGCCAACGACAGGAGCAATCTTGCTGTCCTTGCCAGGATGAAGTTCGTGGGCTAGTTCTGATTTTACTGTCAGACAAGTGAGATAAGTCACAACAGTACAACTCACGCGTATTATGGACCAGGGCTTTATCGCTCAAGTACGTAGTGCTTCAATAAAACAGATTTGATCGAAATTTTCCTACATTCCATTCCCTACGCATATGAGACGCAGTGTTTTCTAAGTTCTTTGTACGCGCTGTATTTCAGACTGGTAGAATTTCATTATCTGAAGGTTAACAAAAACAGTCATCTAGAGCAGAGAGTTCCTTCTCAAATACCAGTTGATAGAATGTGGAAGTTAAATTTCTGTATCCTATCTTTAAAGATTTTCACAATTAAAATTTTTCCTTTGGGACAGGAAAATTATATTCACTCAATGTTAAAAATTTCATTAAACGTTTCTACGCATTACCATGTATTAACAGACTTTGAATGGAAAGAAAGTGGTATCTGTAAACTGTACTCGCCGCTTAAAAAGCATAGCATTGGCTATTTTTAAGAAAAAAAGCATAGCATTGGCTATTTTTGCAGTTATGAAATAGCAAATCGACTTGACAGACGAAATGTAGTCTCTGCTAGCAAGAAACTTGAGTTTCAAAACTGCATAAATCAATGAAAGAAGCATTCTTTTAACTTGTTGTAAGCTCAATTTATAGAGTTTCTATTAAGCAGAAAGCGTGAAAAATATACATTGCCCTCGCTGGGACTCGAACGCTGGACCTCTTGAATACGCGTCGAGTATGCTTCCAGTTACACCACGAAAGCATGCTGGAAAGGAGGGAGAAAATACGTCGAAAAACTGATGAAGAACTAATAAAAAATGCACATATCTGAAGGAAGCTATGAAAAGACATTTTTGACATTTAAAATGCTTTTCTAGAACAATTTTAAACTGTAACGCTAAAGAATGTTTCTATTGCTAGAGATTTTTTTCTGTAATTCGCTAAACGCTAAGAGAGAATTTTATATAAGTGACATATGGCTCACTAAAAAAAGAAATCTTAACTTTTTTCATCGGAAACTGCATGGTAAGAGTGAAGAAGTTGATTATCATGTAGCTGATAATTAGATAAAAGCTGTTTTACTTGGACCTTTAAGTGAATATAAACCACGGGATATTTGTAATACAGATGAAACTAGGCTGCGTTGCAGAACATTACCAAAACACACATCAGTATTTCAAAGTGAAATAGCAGTTTGTTTAATAAATTGAAGGAATGAGTTACTGTGTCATTGATGTGTAATATTGACCCCACAATTAAGAAAACAACACAAGTTATTGACAAAAGCAGACAACATCGATGTTTGAAAGGAGCAAGAATTTACTTGCCATCGCAGAAAAAACTCCAGGTGGCAATACAGGCTTCCTCAAAGACCCTAAACAAATTTAGCCTATTATTGTGAGAACCCTATTAGGAAAAGTGCAGTATATTTTTGCTGTTTTATTACGCTTATATCAAAGTTTTCTCCCAACAGTTTGTTTTGTTTTAATATGCACATAAAGTGAGGATATGGTGATCCGAAGATCCTCATGTGAGAAAGAAGTTGGAGCTGGGCACCTCTAAAGTAAACGTTTGGTGTGAGTTACTGCATTACTAGACTGTCTTCATTGAACAAGCAATCAGAGCCAGAGTTTGTGTCGATAGTTTGATTAATTAAATTTTCTTCAAATGGACGCGAGTCAACCAGATTTCATTTTGCCGCATTTCCAAGATGTGTAACTTATGCTACTTATCCCAAACTGTTTGAACCTTGCTTGTGGAAAAATGTGACCAGTAACAAAGCTGTAAGTTGTTCATTTTCCAAACAAAAGCTGTTGAAGTTCTTCAAGGACTTTATGACACTGCATTTTTACTGGCTTTCATTTGAAATAGGACAGCAAACTGAAAGATGAGAAAATAGCTTTACTAATTAGGCAACTGTGCAGCAGACACATTTCTGATCTTCTTCTGAAAACATTAGTATCTCTTTCTGGAAATACAATTTTTAACATTTAACCTTTAATTTGAGGGACCCATAAAAATTTCAAATGTCACTACAGAAAAGATGTCCAGTAAATGGCGAATAGAATATAATTTTATGAAAATGTAAGCACTTCGAAGGAAGTAGGTTAAGTCGATATTCCTGCTAAAAGCCATGCATATATTACAGCCAATGCAAGGGTTTAATTTCTCAAAATAACTTAAAACTGTTTTAAAAACTGTGGTTTTTATGTAGAAGAAGCCTCAAAGGAATTGCAAGCTATAGATTAATTTTTTAGACATCAGTGAGGGACGTTATGATGGTTCATTTTTAGAATATGTGTTAGTTTACGTCAATATTAGACAATGCGTAAAAATGTGACTATGTATGGAACGCTGTGTTAAAAGAAGTTCAGAAAGTGATTGCGAATGACACGTCATCATCAATGGAATCTAGAGAAGCACTGCAAATTCTAAGAAGACTCTTGAATTTGAAAGATGCTGATAAAAAACGCTATCCGCAGTTTTGCAAAATTGAGAATGTAATTGAAAAACTATTGTTTAACAATATGAAACAAATACAGAGAGAAGAGTTGTTTGCAAAAGATAAAACTTTATCAAGATTTAAAAATATTTTTGTAAAATTTATAAGATTAAAAAATAATTTAATGTTTATATTAGTTTTTGATTATTATTTTAGGAATCATTAATAGAGCAGTTGTTAGCTATTATTTTATTTGAAAAGTTTAAAACTGATATCACGGTTTACAGCATAAGTCGCCGTTTATCAAACTCACCCGATTTGTGAACTCAAATACGTATCGAATGGAGGTGATTTTAATAAGCGGCTGGTAGTGTACTTCAAAGGGATTTTTCTTTGTTTATCTCTCATGTAAAGTTAAGTACTATGTTCTTTCGTTGCAGAATGGAGATAAGCGAGCACCAATTTTGCTGTGGTTGCAAGGTGGACCCGGACTTACCGGCCTGTTTGGTTTGTTCACCGAGCATGGTCCCTATCTTGTACATCCTAATATGACACTTGGATTGCGTGAGTATGCTTGGACACAAAGCTTCCAAGTTATTTACGTCGATAATCCCGCTGGAACAGGTTTCAGCTTTACTGAAGATGACAAAGGTTATGTCACCAATGAGGAAGAAATGGCCACCGATATGTACGAGTTCTTGTTACAGTTTTTCGCTATCTTTCGTGAATATCAAAGAAATGAATTCTACATTGCTGGGGAGTCTTATGGAGGTAACTATGTCTTTCATTATTTTTCTTCCTATATGATCCAGACTTATGTTGATGTATAATTTTATTTTGGGCTTGCAGAAGATAAATGATACAGAAATATAAAAATGTCTTACTGGGCCATTGATGTTCGTCTAAAATATGCATAACGTCTATTTCATGTTCCTTAAAGGCCGATATCACTTTCATTTGTTTGGCCTCTATTTGTGAGTATACTAAGTAAGAATGGAAGAATTCCTTCTGTTTTCTTGTGCTTCTATTTTCCTGTGCATTTCTGTTTTCTTGTGCTTCTATTTTCCTGTGCATTTCTGTTTTCTTGTTTGTATTCTGTTCTATGATTTACATTATCTTTTTAAAGTAGCTTGCATAAATGGGGCAGGAATTTAAATTCTGTCTAGAGCCCACCAGAGTCTTAATCCAAAATTGTGGTTTCCGACTTGCAGGTTGCAAGGAGTATTTATTTATTTATTTAATTTATTACATGCTTCTCCATGAGACACTGCACGGAAAGGGAGGTATGCTCCGGGGAAGACTCTTTAAGGGAAACTGGCTTGTATCGACGTTACACATGGGGAAAATCAGGAAAACGCCCATGCAGCTAGCCCATTCGCCGAAACTAGAGCCAAGGATCGGAATACCAGTGGTCAGAGGCTTTTACTTCTCGGACGCTGGTGGGACTCCGAGGAGTATAAGGCGTTACGACTTACATGCAAGAACGCAACGGCTGAGCGATAAAATTGTTAAACCTATGTTAGCTTCCATAAAGATAGCTTTTGCAATGTTCAAAAAAATCATTTACGAACCACTAAGTATTTATTATCTGTCCAAATAACTAAATATTTTTTTAAACGAATGAATTTAAAATATTTAGTTTATAGTTTAATGCTCATGTTATTGTAAATGTACGAAGAAGAAGTCAAAAAGCAAGTCACAAAAGGCAATTACCAGATAACCTAATGCAGCACTCACTCTAAAACTATTTTTATTTCTCAATACAATCTCCATAACTACTTATACACCTGCCCTTACGAATACCAGCTTCATAAATTTCTTACGGTTGCTGTCTCAGCCGCATTAGGACTTGTTTTCATGTGCATCTTGAACATTGTTTTCATTTGCAAAACGTTTGTCTCCAAAATTCCTTAGGCTCACCAGCGGTTGAGCGGTAAAAGTCGATGAAAACTGGTAGTTCGTTCCGGGGTTCGAATCCTGGAGAACGGGCTGGCTGCATGGGCGTTTTCGTGGATTTTTTCCACATATAATGTGTATACAAGTCAGTTTCCCTTGGAAAGTCCTCTCTGAAGGCATCCCTCATTTTAGGCAGATAGTTCCAAACAAAGTTCCTTTTAATGGACCAAACAGGTTAATACTGTTGTCATTGTTATAATGTACAATACATTTCTTTAATCCTTTACTCTACCTTCTGCACTTTCGATTATCTCTTAATCTGAATAGTACGCCTACTTCGGTTTTCATCGCAAGGTACGGAGCGGACCTTGAGAAAATTTCTCGACCCACCTGTGCACTGCTTTACTCGACAAACACTTCTTTCCATAAACAAGAAAATTTTCTTTATGAATACCATTCACACAAAGTCCTTTTGCCCCCCTCCTTAAAAAATGGATTACAACATGCTACTCCTCTCTTGCAGAACTACCGAGTTCCATTGGCAATAAGAGACCTACGGATGAGCAGCTGGTGCCTAGTGAAATGAATATCATGGACTAAGACGGTTCTACCACCTACAACGAAAGCACTCATTGCTATTTTCAGATATATCATACCAATTTATGGGTTGTTTAATGAGTTCACGTCATATTTCTTATTGTATTTCGTTTGTCGTATTGCAATGTGCATTATTATTTGAAATTATATGGCGTATGGCGGTAAGAATGTAATGAATTAGAATCATTCTTTTCTGTTATAACTGATCCACATATCTAGTTGGTATTTTGAAGTTCTGCTGAGATATCTACAAAACGCAATAACGAGGACTGACTAATGATTGATTTAGCTACAGGTTTTCTTTTTCAAATTATTCATGACATTTTCATGTCCGTATTATTCGAAGGATATTTTGCGAATTTTTTTATTTTGCGAGAGCTACTGGTTTTTATCCCCCCCCCCCGAAAAAAAAAAAAACCTCGGTATTTTTTTGAGTGACTCTGGCATTTGCTGCTTTACTTCAAGGATAAATAATATTGTTCACCTCGTTTGTGAAGGGGGCAGAAATTGAACTCCACACTCATCAAAAGATCGACGCTACCTTTCAGGACAACACATTTAATTCCTACTCCCTAACATATACTATGATACAGAAAAACTAGCAAGATTAAACAGCGCCCTCTTACGGCGATCAATGGATGGCGTAACACACTGAGCCCCCATGACCCCGTCATCAGCTCAGCTAGAAATATAAACTGAAATATAATGCAACACATAAAAATTAAACAAACTGTAAATATAATTATAAAACATGGAAAGAAATAATTCAATCAGTCATTTATAGGAAGTCTGACCAGTTTATGTATTGGTCTTTTCATTTCACCCGACGCAGTTCTTAAGTTGACTGACCTTACTCTTCGCTCAGTTCCCTTATAAGTGCAAATTACTTTTGCGATCTTCCACTTAAGTGGCGGCAAGTTCTCATCCTTGATTCACACCAAGTCATTCACACGTAAATCGGCACTGGGAAGTTTCCACTTGTTGCGCACTTGCAACTGAGTTAAGTAGTCTTTTGACCACGATTTCCAAAACGATTGGGAAATCTGTGTGACTAATTTCCACCGTTCACGGATGGGAATTTTCTCATTTGTTACATCAGGCTCAGGAACACTTTTTAACTAAGAACCGATAATAAAGTGACCCAGTGTAATGACAGAAAAATCATTTGGGTCCTCAGAAGCAGCCACTAAAGGACGGGAGTTAAATATGGCTTCAATCTCCACTAGACACGTTGAAAATTCTTCTTGTGAGAGTATCTGCGATCCTATAACACGTCTCATGTGAAACTTCATGGATTTAACGGCAGCCTCCCATAGGCCTCCAAAATGAGGGGCTGATGGAACATTCATTGTCCAGGGTTCATAGCCACATTTTAGTTGAAAAAGTAAGCACCTATAAGCACTTTTTCAAGCACATTTTAAGGAAAAAATAAGCACCTGTCTAATTACATTATACACAACTGCATAACCTTTAAAGAAAAATTAGCCTTGTAATTTAAAATATGAGCTATGCAATATTTATTAAGAGAATGAGCATTACCTCAACAATGGAAAACAATTAACTTTTTTTTTTTATTTTAAATGACAGTTCAATTTACAGAATTAGTTTACAATGAGAGAAAAAACTATGCAATAATAAACTATATTACAAAATTTAATGATGATATTTCAGTTGAAAATATAGAAAATAAATAATAATAAGCCATTTTAATTGTATTCGTTTGGCACCTAATAATAAATACAATTTATTTTTTTTCCACTCATATTAATATTTAAATAATTTAACTTAAATCAAAATTCTGAACATTTCTAAATTTTCATTGCATAACAGTTTTCCCTTAACATATATATATCCCAAGCAAAGTAATTTAAGTAATAAAGAGGCACATTTCTGAAATCAGAAGACAGGAAATTGCTTCATTCAGTCATCCTTTAACAGTAAAAGCTTAACTAACCCGCATACTCGAAATTCCCGAATATTCCGGATAGTAACTGGAAAAAGAGGAGTGGGGGAGATTGTAGCTGTTCTTTAGATTCAAATTTAAGCTAAATAAATTATTTTGACATTTCGATATGTGCATCATATAAAAACCAACGGAACTGAGAAATATTCGGCTTAGAAAGCACAGTAAAACTCTTTTAAGTGTGCATAAACAAATCTCAGACTGAACATCAAAATTAATTATCAATGCAAAATACCGCAAACGTTATTGCGCAATACGTGCGGCGTAATTCTTCTTCCATATGGGATATTACGCAATCGGAATCAAAACCTGCCGGTATTCGGAGAAAAAAAGAACTAAATAAAGGAAAAGAAAGAGACTTACTAATCTGGGGTGTTTTGTTTCTGATTCTAATTTTCAACAGACTGTATTAAATTTCCGGAATAGAATCAATCTTCGCTTGGGTTGGGTAGACCGCAAAAACATTTAGTCCTATTCAATCCAGATTGGACAGTGACCAAAAAAAGTCCGCTGCTTCAATATCAGAGATTTTGCGGAGAAACTCCCAACCTCCGTACTGTATAATGTATTGGCAAAGAAAATGAAATTATTTTGACTATTCGATTACTTTCCTTTTATTTAAGCCATTCCGAAATTATTCCTTAGAAAGCTAATCTGTGTAAAAACACACCCATTTTTGGAAGTTTATCTATACTTCAGCAGTTACTGCAACTATACTATTATAAATATTCATACATATACTCATAATATAAGCATAACGATCATAATAAACACGAATATGAACTGACCAAGCAGAACGAGAATGCAAATTATTAAAATCTTGATAGAAATTAGTATTTTGGTGGGAGGAATTCTCGCGCGCACCATAGGTTACGATAATGCAGAGAAAGGGGGGAAAAGCGATTTCCGGGAGTATGATTCACCATCTGACGTGGCATATAAGAAAGAAAAGTTGTTTATTTAGTTTCGGCTTTGGTACGGGGAAAAAATGCGCGTTCATTAAAAACAAAGGATTTTAAAAAAAAGCACTAAAAGCAAAAAATAAGCACTAAAAACAAAAAAATAAGGGCTTTAAAGAAAAAGTAAGCACCTATAAGGGCCTTTATATTTTATTTTAAAATATAAGGACTTATAAGCACTTGTAAGGACCGCTACGAACCCTGATTGTCCATTTAACGCCTTCGTTGGTCAAGTAAGTACCAAGTGCCTCCATCGTACACGCTTTTAAGTAATTCTTTGCACCGATAAAGTTCGTTCCACAATCACTGAATATTTCAGAAGGCTTTCCTCGTCGTCCTATGAATCGTTTCAGAGC